TTTAATTGCTTTGTTCTGACTACCTGAATAATCTTCTATTAACTGGCCACGTTGCTTACGCTAATTGTGCTTATCTTCGGTAACTTTATTGCGTTTGTAGCATTTTTCGAGTAAATTGTGGACAGTTTGTAGTTGTCCCTTATTTGTTGATAACCAACTTACTTCATATGCTAATTTAGCGAAGAGTTATGTCTGCATAGCCTTATGCTTTAATTGATATATATATATATATATATATATATATATATATATATATATATATATATCGTAAATTGTTCATTTTCACACCGAGCTTGGCAGTTTGGCTGCAAACGTTTCACCACCATGCGACAGATGTGGAGCCATTCAAAACCATGGAGTTAGGAAGTAAAAGAAAATAACAAAGTGTGAAATACTTGGAAAAAAATAAGTAATAGCAGAAACAAAGAACATCAGTATGTTTGTCTTTTTCGAACGCCATCTTGCAATTTTCCTTTTTAAGGGTTCATGATTTTGAAATCGAGAATCCACGTAAACTTGTGTGTATCGATTCCACTGAATCCGGTTTTGCTCCACTGCCTCGAGCGTTGTGAGCCATTGGTATTCTTCATCCTAGTTCACCAAGCGGCCAGTGGTCGCTAGGCAACATGTCGATGATTTCATGCTTTGTCAATAAATGGTCGGCCGACCTTCACGTAGCCTCTTCCAATGTGGTCCTGCGAGCGCAAACAGGGCGAGGCGTAATAAACGCCCATTCGACATGTGTGAGACATGCCCAATCTATCGCAATTGGCGCAGGAAAACAAGCTCACAGAGGGGTGGACCCGTCTTGCTTAAGACGCGGTGCCTGATGTCAGCACTGCGCACTCGATGTTACCATAATGCATGGGTGATCCACTGCGAACAACCACTGTCGAAGGCCGAAAGCCTACGCATGTCATCTGCGCGGAGCGGCCAGGACTCGCAATCACACAAGAGAACCGACCGGACACCGGCACTGTAGTCCCTGTTTTTAATGGGAACGAAGTGCTGCGACAACCCCACAAATGCCTCAAATTGGAAAAAGCCGGCCGGACTTTTGCGAGATGAAAAGATACCTCTTCCCTAATACTGCTGTCGGCAGAAATGCAACCCCCTAGGTAACAAAACTGTCCATGTGTTCGAGCTGTATGTCTTCGATTGTGAGCTGAGGTAATGGCGACTGCCAATCCTGTGTCGGCACTTGACACTAGGAGGGGGAAAAGCACATACTATGCCAAGATTAACTACCAGTCTGTCAAGGATCATTTGCATATAAAGTATCATCGCCAAGCAAAGCGGCATTGTCGGCGTAAGCTAGATCAGTTGCGCGGTCCTTGTTGCACACCACTGGTGACAGGGAAGAGTTCAGAAAGTTTGCCGTAGGCTTTCACCCAGTCCGAAGTATAGTTTTATAGTGCCCGAAGTAAAGCGACGTACTTTTTAGAAGCTCCATCCTTTAACAAGCATCGCCATAAAGTAGGTCGGCCTACAGAGTCAAATACAGTCCGAATGTTTAGGAACGCGACAATGGTGGGCCTGCGGTAGAGCTGACAATGTTCGACGAGCTAACGAAGTGTGAATATTTGCTCCACACATCCCCGACCGGGGCGATTGGCAGCCTGCTCCTCCCGGTAATGTTTCACCCGTTGGTTCTAACCTGTGGAGCATGGTGGATGCTAGTAGCTTGGAGGCAACCGATGTCAGACTGATCCCTCTATGATTGGCACAAGAAGTGCGATAACCTTTCTTGAAGATTTAGACAATTACTCCCTTCAAAAAAGGGTACTCCTTGTTCTTGCCATATCTTCAGGAATAAAGTTAGCATACTGGCAAGTGACGTGCTTGAACGATTCTAGGAAAACTTCATCTGTGTCCACAGCCTTAAAGTGCTTCAAGTGTCTAATCTCAAGAGAAACCACTTCAGTGGGTGGTTCTGGTGACACTGTCTATGGCATACGACTGGGTGTGATGAGTGCAAAGGTAGACGGTGAGGAGCAACTGAAATGAGATTGGAAATGCTCAGCCAATCTGTCCATACGTCTCCGTAAGTTAGTGATTTGCATCCCATTCGTCTCACAGATGACTTCACTGATACCAAACCTGTGTTCAGTGGTCCGAATGAGTTGGAACAGCCTGCGAATACCTCTAGTGATAACGGCGGCCTCCATCTCCAAGGCACGTTGGAATACCAAACCTCCTATCGACCCGAAGGCTTCGTTTGAGCTGTCACCTGACAATGCGTCGAAGCCATTGTGGTTTAAATTTACTGGATTCCAGAAAGTAGATATCCAACCATTCGAGGAGTGATAAGTAATCATCATTATACGTTAGCTGGAGGTGGAAAACACCTCAGCTATTGTGCCGCAATACAAAAGATAAGAAAAGAAAAAACAAACAGTGGCACGCCCGCTGAGTCCCAGTAAAGGATGGACATCGTTCCGGAGAGCTAACAGCTGGCTGCCGTAAAAGAGAGTCATATTATGCCTAACAAGTGTGATCGTGATTGGAGGGGGATGCTAAACAGGAGGGGGATGAACAAAGGAACTCACAACACAATCGCCATTGGGGCCGGCTCCAAGCCATATCAGCAAGTGTGTCCAACCAAACGTGTTCACCGTCCTTAGGACCACAGCCAGGCAGTCGGGATGTACCAACCGACGTCAACTTCGAAGTGAGGGTTTTCATTTCTCTCGACCAAGTCATCACTTGGCCTCACCTCCTCCTCTTGCAACCGCACTCACAACGCGCAAACAATGCAAGTCGAGGGAGTCAGTGTGCTGGCATGCGCAACACGTGACCCAGCCATCGGAGCCTGGTGCGTGATATCATGGTGCTGAGCGGTTCACTCGCTCTTCCTGCACCAAATACGCGACGTCGAACACGCCCATTGCTCACGCGGTGTTCCCACCAGACATGAGCTAAGCTGCGAAGGCAGCGATGGTCGAATATGACGAGTCTCTTTATGTCTGTCGACCTGATAGGCCAGGTTTCACAACCATATAGGAGAGTTGAACGGACGGCTGCGTTGTAAACTCTACCCTTCAGGGCGAGAGTAATGTCGCGTCTGCGCCACAGGTGGCGGAGATTGGCAAAAGCACTTCGAGCTTTTGCTATACGGTTCGTAACCTCATCTTCAATCCCACTGGTGCTAATATAGCTGTCCAGGTACATGAATTCCTGAACGACTTCTAGCAGATCACCACCAAGCGTTAGCGCAGGGTTGGGTCCCTGCCAATCTTGGAGAAGTACTTTGCATTTCGATGGAGCAAAGCATAGCCCAAAACGATTGACAGCCAGTGCTAATCGGTCCAGTGCTGCTTGGCATGTTTGGGAGCTGTCACAAGTGATAAGTAAACCGCAGACTGATTGGCCGGAATTTAGCATTGGATGCTGCAAGAAGCTCAATGGTGTTCAGTGTCAGACGGCGGAACACAGGCCCTCCGAATCGCATGCAGATATTCGGGCAAACCAACGCGTGATCTGATTTAAGGTAAGTAGTTCAAAATGATCTGCGATATTGTATGCTACCCACCATTTGAAACCGGTTGCAATGTGGTATATTTGAGACCAAGATTGCGTTGGTGAAGGACGTCAGGTGGCAAAAAGCTTGGAAACATATACGGTTGTCATCAAACAAACTGAAAAGCTTGGCTTCATTATCTGAGCAGTTCTTGTTCAGTGCGTGATGACCACCCAGGTAAAATTCACCTGGTTACAGGTGACCAACTCGTGCGCTGAAGTCTCCTGTAGGGACAAAGACGTCCGATTTGGTGGCTTTACGTAACAGTTGATAGGGTTGGTGATAGTAATTATCATTGATTGATTCACAGCTACGAACGAGCACGAACAGATTGTGAATCGCAGCGCGATGCCTGTTATCCCTGCATGAACCTTGAAGGCAAACTGCATAATATTGGCTGTAAACCGGAAACCAATATAGGAGTGCGGCCTAATGCCATACCAATGCCAGCAGCTGATTCGGCGTCGCCAGGCAAATGCAGGTTGTATGTGGTTTCCTGACTGGTCGGATATGTCAATTTCAGTAGTGTTTGGGCCATGTAACCGTTTTTAGAAAGGAAGCAAACAACAATAGCGAGGGAAATCAGAGTATGTGTCAAACCGGTCTGCATAATTGTCCGAACATTAAAGGTTGCCAGCCGGAACGGAAATCAGTGTCGAAGGATAGATTGAGGCCAAATTTTCTGGGTAGTGGCGAAACCGGCCTATGGACTAAATCGAGAGTAGCAGGGACTAACAACAGAATAATGGGGGGGGGCATGTGATGCGGTTTTTTAAGAGACGACAAAGATAAGAGCAAGAGAGTGCAGCGAAGTAGGAGTGTAAAGTATGGTTTTGCAGAGAGTGTGATACCATTCCGTTGCCCAAACCGAATTAGAGAGTTGACTTAGGGGACCCCACCTTGAGATTCGGCTCATTAGTCTATCCGCAAGTCAGCGGGGCGAGTTCCGGGATCGCGCCCATTGGGAGCCGGTGGCCGATTGCTCAGTGCATAAGCTTTTCGTTTGGTAAATTACAAAGCTGGAGCCCTATCCTCCCCACGATTTCAGTAAGAGGGGGTTAGAGTATAATGCTCCACCAGAGTGAAGCAACGGGCAATGACTTTATTTAGTGGCGAGTCACATTCGCCATGTCACAGTGTTGTTAAACACACATGTGGCTTTTTATAGGGAGAACGCTTGTCAGACGAAAACTCATCACATCCGGGGACAATGTTGCCGAACCATTGGCAGGAACGCAGTAATCCCGAACCACAGAGGGTTTGTTCAGTATTCGGATGTATTAAATGCAAGTAGCGAGACAACTAACAAAGATGAACCATACGGCAAATAAATAGTAAGTATGTAAAAGTGAAACTAATGTTATCTGGAATTTGGTAACAAGATCAGATGCCCGACCTCAGAAGGCGAGTGCGCGGAGCTAGTGTGGACAATCAGGTGAGCAGGATAATCAAACGACTAGAAAACGGGCCGCAGTCGTACCGAGTAATAACTCTGGGTTCAAATGCTGAGTCCAGTTGAGCCCCATCTGATGCAGGAAGCAGGCCGAGAGCTTTCGCTTTTCGTTTGGTGCTGATGGACAGTTCCCCAGTTTCTGGTTCACTTAAGTTAATATATCGCCGGAAAGCGGAAACAACATCGTCGTTGGTAAGAACTGCACGCAGCAATTTCTTAACCTGGCGGGCTGTTAAACTGCGCTGTACAGTCAATCGTTCCAACTGGTCGGCCAACGAAGCACCAAGAGCGGCCTAAATGGGAATACAAGAGGTGAAGACATTAAGATCGAAAAGAAATCGTCGTAAACGCATAACCAAATATGATGTGTCCAGGTTGATGATCGGAATACGAAGGAAGTAAGTTAACCCAACTAAATTGAATAAATAAACAGTTTGTTTGCTCGGTTTAACAAGCGAAAGGGCCCAGGAAGGATAAAGGTCACTATTTACTATGGGGTATATCCTTGTGCCCGTAGATATTAAGTAGAAATGAGTTAAGCAGTCATGACTACGCAACGCCACAGTCAACAAGCTACTAAATCAAGAGCTCGATAAGTCGTCACTCGGTATCTTTCGATGACAAGGTTTTCAGCTTTCATGCCTGTTCACGCGGTTTTGAAACAGTGACATTTTCCTGCTCAGGAACAGAAACTTGAGCCACCCTCCGATACGTTTCGTTCATCATTGAGGACAGCATGGTACGTTCCAATGGAAGTCCATGGTACCTCCATAATCTCAATTACAATGGAGAAAGACGATGTATCTCAGTTTTAGCTGGATGTTACACAGGCACAACTAGTTTATGCATGTGGCGGGGAGAGTATCAGTAGATTATTGGTTTGTTACCACACACACATTAGTTCCGAAATCGGGAGTCGGGAAACAAAAACAACGTCTATTTTGATAAACGAGTAATCGTGAAATTCCAGCCTACAGTCAGACCGTCGTCCGCGTTAGTTCACAAATGAGGCGCAAGTGAGCAAGTCTGAATGGGAACCTACACCATGCCATAAAATCGTAGACGGAGCTGAAATTGACTGGATCCCAGAAGGGTCAACTAGGTGATCCTAGGTGACCTATAGAGCGATAGCAGTAGCGCCATGGGGTAAGAAAATATCTTAGTTTCGGTCTCAGGACGATGCCATGCGATCTTAATGGGTAACAAAGCGCTGGATAGATAACCCTGTCTGGTGAAAAGTGTTGCAACGCTTTGGCACTGGATGAGGTGCAAATGCATAAACAGTGACACGATTGATTGAGGGCACCTCCTGTTAACTCCTAGAGCTGATAGCGAATCAGTTAGTTGATGAAAAGTGTGCTTCAGTGAGAAGAGGTGAACTACGCGTCGTTGTACAAGATTAGGGGTAGAATTAGGATGAACCATATCAGACAAGTAATTAAAATGTACCTGTCGACTGCCGGGTAGCATCTCTACTTTCACAGACTATCCGTATCAGAACAAGTAGCGATAAATTCGAGAGCAACGTTATAAAGATGACCTAAAGCAGTAAAGCGTGTCACATTTGGCACGATGAACTGATACGTGAATTGCTTATGGATTAACATGCAGTCACAAAGGTTGCAGCAAAAAAGGGTGAATGGACGGATGTTACTTAGATACCTAGTACAGCAAGTAGCAGTGTAACAAACATGAGCAACAGGACCACTAAATAGCGAGTGTCTGAACAAATATGACTGTGTGGTCGCCTCAATTCACAGCATTCACATGCTCGTTGATAAGTAGTGAATCGAGTCGGTCTAGCTTTTGCCGATTCGACCGCGTACTGGAAAGATAAGGCGCCCGCCGTATAATACAACAGTCTCCACTAGTTCGAAGCTGCATCGATGCGTGTGACGTAGCAGTATACCCAGTCCCATGCGCGACTGGTGATGGTAGTGGTCGCGTGGTAGCCAAGCACTGGTACGGTGAGCACGCGTACCACTGATGACAGCTTGCTGACCGATGAGCGTCTGAAACAAGATGCCTGGAGGTGGCGTGAATGCTATTCAATGTACCAACTGTACAAGTGATAGAATCCAACGTGCGGATTCCGCTCATGCTGTTGAACAAGCCATATGGTATTAGTAACTGGCCAGTGTATTGAATCGCAGGAGAAATGTCATGGAGAAAACTAACCGTTATGCTGGCCTTTTGCCAACTTTATTAAGATGTTTGGTAAAGTCAACTGTCAGCTACCGTGGTAGGCAGGATGCCAGGGTAGTTGTAGCTGAGCAATTAATCGTCTGAATAGCGGAATGTGGGTTAGGGTGCAGTTCCATGAAAGAACCATGGATTAAGTTGCTGTCGTCTAGAAAGTGAAGTAAGTTGGTATCATAGTCTCATTCAGTAAGAAAGTAAGGCATCAGCAGCGCGCCGGTAGGCAGTACGGACGCTTCGCTGCCGCGCAATCACCACCAGTTGCACTTGGGCTAATAATACTGTAAGGGTCGCCCGGTCCCTACGCAGGCTCGAACCCGCGCCCTCGGATTACGATGCAGATTTGCGATCCTTAAAGTTAGGGGCCGGCTGAGTATGCAAGTACCTCATAGCGATGAGACGCCGCAAGAACACAGACGGTTTCACACAAGCTGGGATGATGCGAGGTTGCACGCACTTACGTAAGTTCCAAATGGTGGCTCGTGGAGTACAAGATGGTAAATGCCTGAATCCCTCCGCTGCTGTTTCGTTCATTTGATAAAGTCGATGGGTGAGAAGTCGGTGTTCGCATTTGCTAATTCAGAGAGGCACACCATTCATGTCAGATAATTGTCCAATCGCTGTCATGTGCACACATTGAGGATGAGAAGAAGCATGCATGTCGACGATAAGCAGACCAGGACCTTGTGAACAAAGATAGGAGAGTGTTCCAACCCTACACCTCGTCAGAAGTGGACTCGGCACGACCCACGCAAGTTTGGATTGATGAACAGGCGATGCAGAATTAGCAGGCATCTTTCCTTTTCGGAATGCAGTCCCAATGAAGCTGTGAGGATATTGCGAGCAGCTGAAGTCGTGTATCAAGAGAGACTACGGTTTTCTAACGTGCAATATAGGGTTTGAAACAGACATTATCCGAATTATTAGACCAAGCTGGCGGTGTAAAATACATTGGTGAAAAACAGTGGTCGGATGTCCTACACTTGGAGCAAATGTGGAGGATTTCCCGCACCTATTGGTGTATCGGGACAGAATGTACGCAATGGAGTACATGCTGCCACTGTTGCAGCCCACCGGACGGAGACGGCCAGAATAACAAGGTATGTGATAATTAAGGGCATACAAGCAGAGGCCGCGATAACAAGATATGTTTAAGACGAGCTGATCATAAAATGTTTTGACTTCAGACGATGGAGTGGAGCTGTAGTGAATGGCCGGTGACAATGTGGTCACATCAAGAATGGAATTATACATACATGCAGAAATCAACTAATTAATAGAGAACAAAACCGCTAGGCAAGCAGCCAGTAGGCTAAAGTGGATGCCAGCACCCCATGGTGCAGCAGTATCTGTGGAATTGTGCACAACAGAACCAGCTAAGCAAGTTACTGGCGCGGTCAAAAACGGCTCATATCACAGGCTAGGAAGCTGATTTGCTTGCCGAGCAAAATACCTCAACAGCAGATGCTACGTCATCAGTTGAGATATCAACTTCATTGTGTAACAACAATGAGTCCTGTGGGTGTATACCGATTTTCCGCGAATGCAAATAAATAGTGACTAATCGAAATGACAACAGGAGTCGAAATGATCCAAAAGCACCATCCGAAACTAAGGCTAACACTAGCTGTATTCAGGTGAAGTTCGCAAGCATTCGCCCGAAAACACTAACGTCCAGTGGTTATTGATAGCAGCGTTCAACTCGGTGACCTCTGGCTTGTCAATGAATACCTTGCGACATGTGTTTATTCGATACTGTCTCCCGATCAGACAATCATTCGCATATCAAGTGTCAAGTACATCGACTTCTGAACTCACCGTGTAGCAAACACTCCAGGTCTACAGTATACCACTCGCTATTTAGTGGTCGTGTAAAACACCTTAATGAGCGAGCCTGGGGCTCGATTACCTTGACTCACTTCTCTAACCAGACATCGACAAATCAAGCACAGCCATATGGCTAATCGCTAAATAGTTGTTTCGATCGAACGTATTTAATAAACAATAGAGCAGAAGCCGTTACCAAGTAACGGCCCCTGTTCGGAACTGACGAATTCATAGGATCGGTAAAATTCCAGTCGGTACGCCAGCGTATATCTTAGTCAACGGAAACGCTTATGCTGGAGGCATGTAAGCTGTCGTCACTAATTGATGAGGGGAAACGTCGCCAATAAAAGTGGCTGTGCGCCAAAGTGGAGTTGACCCAGTTTAGTGACTGATAAAGAACTCACATGAGGGTGAGACAAGTGGTGGAATGCATTATGACCGAAGTTATACCGTATTGGCAATTTATAATAGATCGCAGTTGGCATATTGAATACGACAACCCCCGGATATGTGTGCAGCTGTTGTTCCAATTCAAATCAATGATCGTGCAAGTAGGATATGTCCAGCTGTCTCAATTGTCGTTTCGTAGGCAGTACAAGTAGGTACCTACTAGCAGTAAATGTCAACACATGTGAGTGTGCAACCTTGGATAGTATGGCCGCCAGATGTGTAACTCAGTGAGCCTTATTTTAGGCACAACAATGTATCCAGTGCTGTGGAGGCATCGGTGCTAGGGATGGCGTGATGTTGTGGGTGAATCTACGCTGCAGTCGAGATAAAACTAGGTAACAGAATGGGTGCTATCGTAATGATCGACGCGTAACCGCATAGGTTCCTGACATGAATGTGTACAGCGTGTAAGTTGGAGAGGTGTCCAGAAGTCCGACGAAACAACTTCGATAAGTGGCTCTAACAGATCATTACTCACTGCTAAGGTGGATAAGATGCACAACTTCAGTGACGGTGCATGACGATCCATCATGGAACGACAGATCCATAGTAAGTAAGCGGAACTTAGTTTGATGTGATGGTTTGCGTGTCTTAATGTCCCGTATGATAATATTTGGAACGATTTCAAGGGGCCGTCGGGGCTATGCACAATATATAGGTTATTGGTAAGAGGTCCGTAAAAACTTGGCGCCAGTATCCTCTTTGTATGAGGTTACAGAGATGTTGATAGCTCTGTCCTTCCGGCCTCAGACACGGATGACAAGGAGCCATGGCATATAACAGACTACGGGTTGTGAATTCAGCTCATTTGACGGAG